GTTACTCACAGATCTAATCTACTGTAAAATATTTTATTTCAGCTGGATTATCATTCGCTGAAAGGACTTTTTCTGGGTGTTTTGTATTGAATTTATTTTCATTGATTTTTGACAAGTTGACTGTAAAATATAAGAAAAGGGTATATTCGCTGGATTTTATTTTAACTGAAACATTCCTTCAGCGAAAATAGCAAAAAAATGCAATCAAAAATAAAGTATTTTACAGTAATTAATTTATTCTGAGCATGCGCAGACATTCTGTCAATGTTGCCGGGAAAAAAATTACGTGCATACTCAGCAGAGACTTGTTCAACCTGCCTAGCTTTGGTTCGACCTACAATCAAATTTGGCCCTAACAATTTCATTTGGACGGCTTCTTTTTAATTTTGTTGTTGTACGTCGAACATAGAGCTACGGGATCTTTCACCATTTAAAAACAGAAATCTGGCATACGTAAATTAAATCGCTTTTGCTTTCGATTACGATGGTGTGACGTACATGTACCTTTATTGTGAATTGATCGCTGGATGAATAACATTTGTGTTTGCATTTGCAATTTGTGTTTATAAATAAGCAATAATTTGTGATCTTGGCACGGATCTAGAAGCCGTACCTCCACACACGAATTGGTGACGTCACAAAATACATGACCTTCAATCGGCGGCGTTTCCTCGGTATATACGAATTGGTATATACAAATTACAATAAAGATACCGGTACTTAAAGGTAGCGAGACTATTATTTGTGTTGAAAATTACAATTTTCACATTCATTTATTAATTGATGAAATGCACTATAAACTTTCATCTGATAAAGTCAACGTAACCTAGAATGTCATGTAAGTTGGTTAAAATATTGATTTTTTGAAGGGAAGCAAGGCAGCTTCAGTAGTGTTTTCCTAAATCAACAACACAGGTTTAATTTGTGTGCCTATAAGTTTCAAAGATTAACCCAAGACAAAGCAATGTTAGGATGTGTTATCAGTAGCTATCTGACACACAATGAGTGTTACCAAAGATTTGAGTGGTTTGTCTCCGCCCCTGTTTGTTTCACAGATTAGTCATTGCATATGAATGTGTCAGACACAAGGTCACACAGCCACTGAAATAAATCATTGACTTTGGTGTTTTCATCTGGCGATTTTATCAAATTATAGCTATTCCATTCCTTTTATTTTTTGGTTTCCAATAGCCTTACACATTTGGATGCCCCTACACATGTTAAAACAGACCTTGATGGGAAAACAAATCGCTTGTGCAAATAAACAAGCTTGAAAATCTTTACTGTGACTTCATTAACGTTTTCTAGGAGTTTATGTTTTTCAGAATACAAGGTCTTTAACAAAAAATAACGTATACTTATTGTCGTCGGATTAACACCAAATTTTTACAGCTTTAAGGTGACAATGATAGGAACTTGAATGTGTCCAGACAAACTATTTCATGGATTATTTACCAATGTGTTGCGGTTTGAGTTGGGAACAATGCGACTGAAACAGAAATTAAAATGCAGGACACTACTTTTTAAAATGCGTTGCTTGAATAAAACTAACCAGACACATTTAATTTACCAGGCTATTGAACAACTAGGAAAAGTGAGAAAAAAAAACTCCCTATCACCAGCATAAATGCGTAATTATTTTTTTTACAAAGAAAGTAATTTTTCACTTTTCATTAAGTAACGCACCGTAAAATGCAGATAAGGGTATGGCAAACACACCTTTGAAAAGCTTGAAGTCTGGCGATTCCAAAAATATATACTTTCCTGGGGTTATTTGTAGTCATTTGGTCACAATTAGAAGATGAAAACAAGTATGCAAATAATAGTCCTGCTACCTTAAGACATTACACATAAGGTAAAACAAATCACGTGACAATATAATGATAATAACGGTAATAAATTCTAGCTTAACAGTTGAACACAACGCTCATATAGTCAGTCGGGCGATGCCGAGGGTCACACACTGTGTTGCAAAATGGCCGTGTGGTTGAAGCTGGGTCATAGCGTGACGGGTGAGGAAGACATCATTAAACACTCTCATCATTAAATCACAATAAAACAGGGAAGTGGTTGCATATTACGGCGTAGCCAACACGGG